CTCGGTGTTCCCCCTTGACCAATGTCATATTTTAAAACTCCTGTCTCCCTGATAGCTTTTTATAATATCCTGGGCCTTGTCCCGGATGCTGCCGCTGGACGGAGACCAATCTATTTCAGTTGCAACATTTGATCCATTCCAGCAACTCGTAAGTTTAAATCCTTGTAGAGATTCAAAAGCGCCACTCGTATGCCAATCCACCAATACTAATGTTTTATTTACAGATATGTCACTTCTCTTTCTCCAAAGCTCCTTCTTTGAGTCTTAAGAAGCCTACCCCTTTTGAACGTATCTGTATTCAAGTCCCATTCCAATGAGGCATGTGTTCATTTATATATAAGCTTCTTTTAGACTCCTGCCACCTTTCTATTGATACTTTCTGATGTTTTGGTATAGTACTCCTGAGGATCTCCATGATTGTAACCCGAATGTTTCTTCTGTCTTTTCACATGTACAAGGAAACTGGCACTCTTTTCCACATTTTTTGGACTTGCCAGTCCATTGCACCCTTTTGGAGAGAGGTCCTTGACCGCCTACAGCTACTTTTTCAGGCTCCTCTCTTCATTCGAGCCTATTCACTTTCTGTTGGCCTAAACCTTTTCCAGGCATCTCCAAGTCTGCATGGAAACTTTCCTCCCACGTTATAACAGCAGTCAGGAGAACCATTCCCATGCATTCCTACGCTATCGGATTTAAAGAAGGTAATAGCAGAAATAGGAAAAATGGAGTACCTTACTGCTGTGCATACTAAGTTTCCATTTTTGAAGCAATTTGTGAATCATGGGATACTTCCAACTCTGACTTGTCTACTCAAGTGTCTGAAACTGATCGCTAAACCACTGTTTATGTAATGACATTATATATATTTTGAATGCCTCTCAATCCCACAAGCCTATTTCCTTATTCTGTTTTCTTTTGATGCTCTATGTAACTCTCTGCTTGGTTATACTTGTTTGAAAAGTAAAAAAAAAATTAATTACGAAAATAAAAATGTTTTCCTCAAAATTTCATTCTTTTTTTTGTTTAGATTAGAAAAAAAAAAATCCCACTGGTGATCAAATACCACCAAAGAAAAGCACCCATTGTGTGAAAAAAATATATAAATTTTCATTTGGGTACAGTGGTTTGCATGACCACGCAATTGTCAGTTAAAATAGAACAGTGCTTAAATAGCAAAAAATGGCCTGAGTCATGAAGGGGAATGCTGGTCTTCCTCCCCTTCTGTCCCTGCACTAAACTGAGAGCATCGGAAGCCATTGGCTCTTGCTTGTTGTCAAGTCAAATCCTGTGAGCAGAGAGTGGAGCAGGGCTTAGCCACCTTATGTGGGTCTATGCAAGCCTGCACGTCCACTACCTAAGGTAGTGGCTTCCATAACTCTGTGTACACTGGATGCTAGGGCTGTCTAAAAAAAGAACCCAGCACTAAGGGGTTGATTTACAAAAGGCAGAAAACGACTGGTCACGACTCTGCAAGATCAGTTTCTCCAGAGCTTAGCAAATGAGGGGGAGGGCTCTTACTAACTTTCATCATCCAATCATGTACAAAGACATTTACTAATAGAGAGTCTACACAAGTAGACTCAAAGCGAATTTACTAACTACCATGTCTAACACAATGTAAAAATCACTGCCAGAAACATGTTCACATTGAAATTTGCTTTCCAAATATCTGGACTTCAATTTAACCACCTTCAAGTCGGACACTTTATTACCCCCTTCTGTCCAGGCCAGTTGTCAGCTTTCACAGTGCTATCACACTTTTGAATGACAATTGCGCGGTCATGCAACACTGTTAACACATAAGAATTTTTATATTTTATTTTTTTAATTATTTGTTTTTTTTTTTTAAATACTGTCACCTAGCAGTACAGTGTCACCATGGTGACACTGTAAAATAAAATTAAGTACTACTTGTAGGGGGGTGATGAAGATTTTTTTTTTACAACGGATTGCTTTTACACCCATAAAGGGCTGTAGAAAGCAATAATTTCTTCTCCTTCTCTCTGGCTTCATTCTTGCAGCCATTGAGAACTACTGTGTGAGCTGTGATTGGTCCACAGCTTGTCACATGGTACAAGGCTGTTGTGAAAAATGCCTTATTGTACCATGTGACCTCTGTGATCATTCACAGATTTCACACGTAGTAAGCAATGATGTCAGAATGTGACATCGGGACACAGCGTGCACCAGATCTCGGAGCTGCGTGCTCCCAGGGGGAGCGCGACAAGCAGGGGGTGGAGAGGTCGTTTATAAACAGCCACACCGACCCTGCACTGCCACCGTCTGGCCGTTTATATATGCCACGGCCGGATCTATGAGAAGTAGTTAAACCATATATTAAAATTCTTTAAGGGAATTTCATGACAGTCAATGAGAACTAGAACGCTTTTCCAACATCTATGCAGGGATATAAATGCGCATGTGCAGAACACAAGTTTAGCTGTCTACTGTGGGCGCTTTCTTTTTTAGACTTCTGTTTAATAGTAATTCTCAGTGTGGAGTCCTCTGATAGACGGCACTCGATCGCACAGCCTACTGTGTTTAACACAAACAGCACTATTTGTAGCTAGGCATTATCTTTATGTAATTCTAATTTGGTTTCCTTAGTTCTATTGATCCTGCTTTTGTCTCTTATATCCTTTTTTTTTTTTCACCAAAAAAAAAGTTTATTGAGTAAGTGCATAATGATACAAAAGAAATGCGAAATGATACTCATATACAACATTTGGCCAATGCATACGAGAGAAAATGTAGGAACATTCTTGCACAAGAACCACATATGGAACATGGTTGTGCCAATCCACGACGGGGTAAGTTTGTAATACTCAGGCAATATAGTAGTGTGAATGGGAATGCTATCGCATCGGACATCCTTAGTGTGTAAAATTCTCATTGCAGCGCTGAAAAAGAGCGGAGGGTAGATGAAGTAGTACCACAGTTGAGGACGAGTGCTAAGTGTGTTTACTAGAGTGAGGGTGCCTGTAAGTCAAGGCTTAGATTGTCGTGAGGGTCGCTGATTGTAAGTAGGGTAGGTAAGACAATGCATGCCTAATGTTCTCTAGAGAGGAACCCAGTAGGGTTTGACTGGCTGTTTTGTGTTGTAACAGGAAGGAAAGATGAAAGAAAAGGAGAAAAAGAAAAAGAGAGAGAGAAGAGAAAAAAAAAGGGGGGGGGGGGGGAGAGACGAACGGGGGTTTGTATACTGTCAGTCAATACCAAGGTTCTTCTATGGGTGGATTTAGGCATAGAAGCTATCAACCTGAGCAGGTAGGTGGGGGATATAGCCCCTGAAGGGGAGAAAGTTGCCTACCGTATGATCTAGACGTGTAAAGAGAACACACAACGGAGGTTTCAAATTCAGTGGGACCAATTTGGTGCAACGGGTTGGTTGGTCCAATAGAGGGTCCTCTGGTATGTAGGGGTAGTGTTAAGCGAGTTCCAGCAGGCCCAGATATGGGAGAAATTAGTGGGGAATCGAAGTGCAGTCGCAATCAGTTCATTTCCAAGGACCGGCATTTTATCGCCACACGGGTAAAAAAACAAGAAAACCAATCAAAAAAACAAACCAAAGGTAGCAAAAAAAAAAAAGAAAAAGGAAGACAGCAATAAGGTGAGCCCCAAAAAAAAAAGAAACGGGAAGAAAAAAACAAAAACAAAAACAAACAAAACAAAATAAGAGTCTGGCTGCATTTGACCATATGCATGGCTAAAGATTTAGAAGTATTGTCCTCTGGGTAGGGAGGAGTGATGGAGAAGAAACTGTGCTGGAGATAAAGCTAGGGGCAAGGTGGTCAAGAAAGTCAGGGCTCCCGGGTATGACCAGACGTATGTGACTGACGCAGGGAAACGCAGACTTCAGATATGTTATAAACAATATAATATTATTCGCAAACACTAACAATAGACAAGCTAACATAAAACGCAGTGCAATACTAAACACATAAGTGACAGTGAAACAAACCAAACCAACCACCCCAGATTTAACAGTACATACAATGCAAGCGTCGATCAGAGGCAGGCCGGGTCAATATCAATCGGGCAGGTAGGTAACAGGGGGGAGCAAGCGGAGAATGTCGGGGTCACAAGCCAGGCTCGCAGAGGTAAGGGGCAGACAATGGGAGGTACAGAGGTCAGGCAGAGAAAGAATGGTCCAGACACAAGCCAGGGATCAGAAGCAAGAGGAATGGTCAGACAAAAAAGCCAGGGATCAGAGCAGGGTCAGCAACAAATCAGACACAGGAACAGGGGAGCAGGAACAGGGAAACAGGGCCCAGGAAAACACACACCAAGGCAGGGTCTGCAGGTACAAGGCCAATCCCTTAAATACACCAGCATAAGCAGTTTCAGGTGTTTAGCTGGCTGCTAGGTTGAATGTAGTCTCTGATTGCTGGGAGCACCCGCTGGCCAGCCCTGGTACTGCAGCCCATAACATCACAGGCGAGTCCAACCATAGAAATGCTGCCAGTCTCATTCCTGACAGTACCCCCCCTCTCTCAAGGATCGGCCTCAGACGCTCCAAAACAGTCCTAGCTGGGCAAAATGTTCCACCGCCACGGTCTGGTAACAGGCGGGATCTCGTTAGCAAAGACTAGGCAGATACACGGGATTTAGGGACGCCGGGCAGCGGCACATCCGGGCAGGACTCCGGGGCAGCGGCAAATCGGGCGGAGGCACACCGGGCAGAGGAATCACAACACCGGGCAGAGGCACACACCGGGCAGAGGCACAATCAGGGCAGAGGCACATCGTGGGAGTTGCACACCGGGCAGCGGCACATCGGGCCAAGATATCAGTCGGGGATAAGAGGCACACGGGGTCGAAGCGGCACACCGGGAAAGAGGCACAGGGAAAGCGGCACATCGGGCAGAGATAGGTAGAACACCGGGCAGCGGCACACCGGGCAACGGCACATCGGGCAGCGGAACACCGGGCAGCGGCAATCGGGCAGAGGCACACCGGGCAGCGGGCAACATCGGGCAGAGGCACACCGGGCAGCGGCACATCGGGCAGAGGCAGGAACGGGCAGGCCGCGGCCACATCGGGCAGGAGGCACACCGGGGCAGAGGCACACCGGGCAGCAGGCACATCGGGCAGAGGAAACACCGGGCAGAGGCCACATCGGGCAGTAGAGGCACACCGGGCAGCGGCACATCGGGCTTGGACTCCGGGCAGCGGCACATCGGGCATGGACTCCGGGCACACGGCACATAAGGGCTGGACTCCGTAAAGAGGCACATATCGATCACCAGGCGAAGCAGCAGGCAGCGGGCCCCCAGGCGGGGGCGACAGGCAGCGGGGCCCCCAGGGCGGCGGCAACAGGCAGCGGGCCCCCAGGCGGGGCGACGGGCGCCGGGCCCCCAGGTGGAGCGGCGCGGGCGCCGGGCCCCCAGGAGGGGCGACAGGCATCGGGCTCCCAGGCGGGGCGACAGGCATCGGCCCCCAGGCGGGGCGACAGGCATCGGCCCCCAGGCGGGGCGGCGGGCGCCGGACCCCCAGGGCGGAGCGACAGGTCTCGGGCCCCCAGGCGGAGAGCGGGCGGGTGCCGGACCCCCAGGTGGAGCGACAGGTCTCGGGCCCCCAGGAGGAGCGGCGGGCGCCGGACCCCCAGGCGGAGGATGGAAGCGACAGGTCTCGGGCCCCCAGGCGGAGCGGCGGGCGGGCCGGACCCCAGGCGGAGCGACAGGTCTCGGGCCCCCAGGCGGAGCGGCGCAAGCGGGCGCCGGACCCCCAGGCGGAGCGACAGGTCTACGGGCCCCCAGGCGGAGGCGCGCGGGCGCCGGACCCCCAGGCGGAGCGACGGGTATCGGGCCCCCAGGCGCCGGGGGCGACAGGCATCGGACCCCCAGGCGGGGCGACAGGTCTCGGGCTCCCAGGCGCGGCGACAGGCAGGATCGAGTCACCAGGCACGACAGTGGGCTCCGAGTCAACTGGCATGACCGCTCCGGGTACCGGCTCAGACATTTGGATTGCCCTGGCTGGACAGCGGGCATCGGGTCACCAGGCATCAGGTCATTTGGCTTGACAGCGGGCACCGCGTCATCTGGCAAGGCAGTGGGCACCACGTCACCAGGCACGGGACAGTGGGCTTCTGAGTCAATTGGCACGACAGCGGGCACCGGATCAGGTACCGGATTTGTCTGGCTCGACAGCGGGTATCGGGGTCACCAGGTATGACAGCGGGCACTGAGTCACCGGGCATCAGGTCATTTGGCTCGCCAGCGGGCACCGCGTCACCTGGCAAGGCAGTAGGCACCGAGTCACCTGGCCTAATAGGATGATCATCCAGGCTGGAACAATTCATCAGGCTGGATCTGTTCATCAGGCTGAGTGCAGGCATCAGGCTGAGTAGAGGCATCAGGCTGAAGAGAGGATCAGGCTGGAGTATAACAGGCATCAGGCTGGAGACAGGCATCAGGCTGGAGACAGGCATCAGGCTGAAGACAGGCATCAGGCTGGGTACAGGCATCAGGCTGGGTACAGGCATCAGGCTGGGTACAGGCATCAGGCTGGGTACAGGCATCAGGCTGGGTACAGACCTCAGGCTGAAGTGCGGGTGCCGAGGCACCAGGCTGAACCACGGAAGGCCGGTTCTCAGACGGCAGGCTCACTGGTTTGGATACAGGCAGGATGGTATTGGTTGGAAAGAATTTTAGCTCTTTTCTGGTTTTAACTACTGGAGCACTGCGAGTAAACGCAGGTCTGCAAACGAATGGAGCAGCTGGAGACAGAGAAGAGCTGGAGGATGGAACAGGGGAGGGAACAGTTGCTACAGAGGGCTTCTTTACAGGGTTAAAGGCAGGATAGGTGCAGCGAGTGGGAACAGGGTACTGACATGCGGTAGATAGCAGGGCAGGAGGAGCTGTTTGGGAATGCAGGAATTGAGCTTTGAAGGAAATAGATTAGAAGCAGGACTGGGTTTTTGTAGGCTGACTGAGGCTGGGTGCAACAAATCTGTCCATGTCTGCAGTATGGGTTGAACAAAGCTGAGCTTACACAAAGCCTGTCTGGTCAAAGACTGCACTGCGTTTATACAATCTCTTAATACCTGCGGTGAACATGCAGAATAACGCTCCAGAAAGTAATCCACATCATCCTCTAATAACCATACCAGGGACTCTACCTGGTCTGCACTAAATGGCGGCAAAAATTCATCCCTGCATTCGGGGGTATCAGATGAAACCAACTCCGCACAAATCTGAATCAATAGCTTGCACCTCAGAGAACTCTGTGCCCTGATCTACTAGAACATGAGCGAGCCGTATACATTCTAGCAGTTCATCCCGGGGGATACTCCTTCAGAGTCTGATAAGCATACTCTCTGTCATCAAAACACTAGCAGATATAAATACTCAACCTCATCAAGATCCATCTTTCCCAGCAACAAGCCAAGATGGCTTCCCTGTGCAGCCACTTCTGGTCAGGATTGGCCTTGGTGTAATGTCAGGGCTCCCGGGTATGACCAAAGGTATGTGACTGACGCAGGGAAACGCAGACTTCAGATATGTTATAAACAATATAATTTATTAACACTAACAATACAAACATAAACGCAGTGCAATACTAAAACATAACACAGTGCAAACAAACCAAACCAACCACCCACAGATAACAGTACATACAATGCAAGCGTCGTCAGGCAGGCCGGGTCAATATCAATCGGGCAGGTAGGTACAGGGGGAGCAAGCGGAGAATGGTCGGGGTCACAAGCCAGGTTCAGCAGGTAGCGGGCAGCGTGGTACAGAGGGTCAGGCAGAGGAGAATGGTCAGACAAGCCAGGGATCAGGAGAATGGTCAGACAAAGCCAGGGATCAGAGCAGGGTCAGCAACGAATCAGACAGGAACAGGAACAGGGAGCAGGAACAGGAAACAGGGCCCAGGAAAACCACACCAAGGCAGGGTCTGCAGGTCTGGCCATCCCTTAAATACACCAGCATAAGCAGTTTCAGGTGTTTAGCTGGCTGCTAGGTTGAGTCTCTGATTGCTGGGAGCACCCGCTGGCCAGCCCTGGTACTGCAGCCCATAAGGCAGGCGAGTCCCACCATTGCTGGCCAGTCCATTCCTGACACAGAGAATACAAGCCTGTGGACCTCCTGCCAGAATGGTTGGATACTCAGACAAGACCACCAAATGTGGAGAAAGGACCCATCTGAAGTTCCACATCTCCCAACAGCGTTGAAACGAGAGATTCTCGACGGGGTTCGGTACCATCTCGAAGCCAGGTTTTTATAGCCGTTTTCCTGAGTCGAGACATTGAGGGAGCATTTATGGGTATGCATGAATATTAGGTCCCAGTCGGCGTCCGCCAGACTGTCTCCCAGGTCTCTGTTCCATGCACAACAGGAGGGTAAAGAATTATAATCCCTACTCTCAACAAGGAGGGGGTAAATCTCCGAGATCAAATGTTTGCGCGGTTCAGCTTTAGAGCATAGGGATTCAAAAGGAGTGAGGGGACGAGTCCAGTTATGAAACGGTTTGTGTGAGAGCACGAAGTGTCTTATCTGCAGATAGGCCCAGAAATGAAAATCTCGGATATCTAGGCTCTCAAGCAGTTCGCGGAACGATGTTACTTTGCTGTCGCGGATAAAGTGTTTAACCAAAATCTGGTCATGTGGCCAATGCTCAGATAGGAATGACTTGTGCATGCCTGGGGGGAAGTCAGATTGAGACGAATGGAGGTTAAGGAGTTTGGTGACTCAGAGATGGATGACGATTTACAGTTCAGGCGGAGAATATTTAAGCTGGGCCCCACTAAAGGGTGGGTGAGGAGCTCTTGAGGTATATGCTTCGGCAGGAACCATGGAATCGATGTCAGGGGTGAGAAAGCATTTTCTAGGTGGACCCAATCTTTAGAAGTAGAATGAACATGCCAGTCCACTATGCGAGTAAGGTGGCATGCCCAGTAGTACCAGTGAAGGTCAGGGAGCCCAATTCCACCTCCAAGTTTAGGAAGAGTCAGTTGAGAAAAAGCAATACGCGGACGCTTATGGTTCCATAGGAATTGTGAGCAGAGTTTTTTGCAAGATGTAAAAAAAGCAACAGGTTTGTGGATTGGAAGCGTTTGAAAAAGATAGAGGAGGCGGGGGAGTATGTTCATTTTGATTATTGCTGCCCTTCCAAACCAAGAGAAGCAAGGACGATGCCATTTATGGAGGTCCTCTTGGAGAGAATGGAGGGCGGGAAGGAAATTTTTTGCATAGAGGTCATCGAGGTTGCGGGTAAGTTGCACACCGAGATAGGAAAGGGAATCCTTTTCCCAATGAAACGGGAAATCAGATTCACAGAAAGAAACTGATTCTGGGGGCAGGGAGATGTTAAGGGCAAAAGATTTGGAGAAGTTGATTTTAAAGTTTGACAAGAATCGAAAGAGGGCAAAATCTTTTAACAGATTAGGCAAAGTGGTGTGAGGATCAGCAAGGAAGAGGAGGATGTCGTCTGCGTAAGCAGCGAGCTTGTATTCCTTGTCCAATACCCTGACCCCTTTGATGTTGGAGTTCAAGCGAATTTTGCATAGTAGGGACTCAAGGGATAGGACAAACAAGAGTGGGGAGAGGGAGCAACCCTGACATGTTCCGTTTCCTAAGTGAAAAGAGTTTGACAAATGTCCATTGACCCGGACTCGAGCGGTGGAGTCCGTGTACAGGGTCATAATGAAGTTGAGCATCTTATCACCCAAACCCAGTGCCATCAGAGATGATGGCAGATAGTCCCAGGCAATTCTATCAAAGGCCTTCTCTGCATCCAGGGAAAGGAAAAAACCAGGAGTGTTAGATTTACACAGCCAATGGTGAAGGTTAAGGGCCTTAATGGTGTTGTCCCTTGCTTCCCTACCCGGTATGAATCCTCCTTGATCAATCTAAATTGATCAAGGAGGGAATCAGGGGGAGAAGTCGATTAGCCAGGATCTTCACAAATAACTTAATGTCCACGTTCAGCAGGGAGATGGGTCTGTAGTTGGATACCTGCATGTTATCTTTATTGCCCTTGGGGATAACTGTTATGTGGGCCTCCAAAAGTTGATGTTGAGGTAGGGGGGATTTGGAGAAGGTATTAAACGCCAAAAGAAAGGGGGTACCTAGGATATCCAAAAAGGGTTTATAATAGGCTGCTGAGAAGCTGTCAGGACCCGGACTCTTTCCAGGTTTTGTCTTCTTCAAAGCACACTGCAGCTCATTCAGGGTCAGGTCCATTTCCAGAGAGTTGGCCAGGTCTTCCGAAAGAGCCGTCGGGCTGTGGAGCTGGAGAAATTCAGAAATCAAAGAAGCCCTGGATTTGTCAGTGTGTGGAGGTGGGCGTTCAGGAGGGAGGTTGTATAAGGATTTATAAAAATGTTCAAAATGGGCATCAATATCAGGATTAGATGTGGCTATGGTGCCATCGGGATCTCTAATTTTATGTATCATCATACTGGATCGTTTCTCGCGGAGAGCTCAGGCAAGGAACTTTCCGCTCTTGTTAGCAAATTCATAGTATAGTTTTTGAGAGAGAATGAACCGTTTCTTAACCACTTTCCCCAATTCTGTAAGAAGCTGTGAGCGTGTACTCGTAAGTTCGGATAGGGTCGACGCAGCCAGAGACCGCTTATGTGCTCTCTCTAATGAATGGATCTTATCCGTGAGGCGTCTCAAGCGCTCTTGTCTATCTCTTTTACGCTTGGACGCAGCTGCTATGAGGACGCCCCGGATCACACACTTATGAGCCTCCCACTGCGTGAGTGGGGAGGTATCCGGG